CCTCGTTTCTCCTTGGGAAATGGGCCTCAAGAGCTCATACAGACATGGGGCCGACTGTTTGACTTCGTGTCTAGGCCCTATATGATAGGAATATAAAACTCTCATAAGAGGAACCCCACAGAAGCCCTCTGACTGACATTTCAGGTTTCGGCACTGCGGGATGGGGGCCGAGCCCGAGTCCAATCGGGGCCTTGGCCTTTGGTCCCGAGGGGCACTTCGGCCCCTCTTCCGACCCCCTCAAACAAAGGCCGTAACCGACCAGGGGCCACTGGCTGACACATGACCCCGATTATGCGCCGTGGGCCCCTTAACGATACGGGGACCCCAACTATTTTGTCAGGGACCCGGACCAATGCGAAGCGTGACCCTCGGCCTTACTCCTGATTGGGAAATGGGTCCCCAGGGTTCAGACTGACAGAGAGCCGGCTGTTCAGTGTTCGTGGCCTATAGTCGACTTAGACACACGCTCTGTCTCAGGGGTCCTCAAACGGTGCAAGAGGACGTCTGACTTAAATTTCAAGTCAGTACCCTACGGGCCGTGATTCTTTATGTGATCTACAGCCAGTTCTTCTGGTGGTTATGCCCCCAACCGGGCCTTTCGGGTCTCTTGCGAGCACAGGACCCTCTGTTAGGCGCTGTTGGCCCCTGACCGATACAGGGGCCCCGACAAGTGTAAATCGCTAGCCCCGGCTCTGAAACTGATGGGGAAATGGGCTGTCAGGCCTATACCGACACGGAGCCGAATGTGCGGTACCGGTGGTGCCTGATCGACAAACCCGCTCAAATAGACTCAGGAGCTCCCCGATCACCGCAAATGGTCCTATGACTGTCATTTGAGAGTCCACCCCTGCAGGCTGGAGCCCCCGAATCAGAATCAACCAAACCTTTGTGCCCTTCACTCTCCAAACGGGCCCTTAATTGTTGGGCCCTGTGGACCCTCCAGGCTCTTCGGGCCTCCTCGAACACTGTCTCTGGCCAACTCGGTGCCTCTTGACAACACAGGGCTCCCCTTAGGCGCTGTGGGGCCCTGATAGACGCCGGGATCCCAACCAATGTAAATCGCTGGCTCCGGCTTTGTCCTTGCTTGGGAAATGGGCCTTCAGGTCCATTTCACCACGAATCCATCGGTCTTCACCTCAATTCGGGAATCATCATTGGAAGCAATCGTCAAACACTTACAGACAGACCTTAGATATGAGGGAGTTGGTACGATACAAACATTAGATGCCTACAGGACAGCATCTGGTGCAAAATAAACATGATACCTAAAAAGATGTGTGTAGGCACATAGTGCACCTAAAGCCAAGAAGATTGTTATGTATTTCTTTGGTCCAGTGTCCCCTTTTTGCCCATATGCATTGCGGGGTCTCAAAGGAGCATTGGGGCCTCAAGTCAGCATTGGGGAGAGGGCTCATGGCCCCCGGAAAGTTTTTAAAGTGACACCTTTGACCAAAAGGCGCTGTTTTTCGGTGCACCACCACGCACTCATCACTGAGTGCGCGCGCTCAGTAGGCGGCAAAACAACATGGCAGCTCGCCAACCAACTTCTGCCAGCTGGCAATGGCTAGACCAAGGCACAGAACCAAAACAGTCAAATCAAGCGTCCATCCGGCGAAAGTGTACAATTGGTCGACGGCCTCTTGGCCAAGGTTTTCCCGACCTGGAAAAACGGTACCAAGACCCAACTTAAGCGAGCAGATCATCCTGGCGCCGATAAACTTTACTGCCAGTGATATTAAATGCAAGCTCCTGGAGAAGCAGCGTGGGGAGACAAGGACCGGAAAATTGGTGGACATCGTCCTAAGCCCAGAGGAGGCTGTGAACTTCCCACTGAAGCTTCTCAGCAGCCGGGAGCCATCATGGCTGCTATCACACAGCTTGATGTTTCAGCACCTGGAGCCAACATGGCTGCTATCGAACAACTCGGTGTTTAAACAAGGTGTCCGTCGTGTTCTTACGAAACTCGGAGATCTTGGGGAGGCCAGCTTGTTTGGGGGATCTAGCTCTGCAATGACGAACGGTACAACAGACAAGGCTAAGGGAGCAAACGTCCTCACCCCAAGAATCCCGCTTGCCCCCTCTGACAGGCCCACCGAATTCAAACGGATACAGTATTCTATTAAGCAGACTTCACCGATGATGTGGATACCGTGAATAGGAGCCATTAGAGCCAAGGGTCTGCAGGTGAAGGTGATAGGTCTCAACCTGACCGAGCCAGTGTTCTCCCAGGATAGACATTACGCCGGCTGCTCCAGAGGAAGCAGCCGACCTGTTCGCCCTGTCGCGAGAGAGCAGGACCAATAAGGATGTGTACAGGGAGGTTTTGCAGTCGTAGGGTTTCCAGGTGCAAGAATTCAGCTGCAGCAGGATCGCAGCCCATACCAGTATCTAGCGATCTGAAGCTGATGAGTAGTTTTTGCAGATTGCATGTTACTGCTTGCACTCGGTTTCTGTGAAGTTGAACGTCTGGTAGTGGGATGTTTTGAAGATCGCGTGAGCTGTATTGCTCCAGCAAACAGTTTGTGCTTGTTGAATGCAGGTACAAATACTAATACCCGGTACACAAGTGAGATCAAGTTTCGACCATAAAACAAACTACAGCTATCTCAAATAGTTCTTTTGCGACATACGTTCCGGTATGACCCGGGCACCGCCGGGCATCTCAGCTAGAACCTGATACTGCCGCTGTTGGTTGCCGGCGCAAGCGCGGGTGTCGATTTGTATTTTTTTTTACGGCTCTGTTCCCCCAATGTTGCGTCGCCCCACTCCACCCGCCCCTACCCCAATGCTAGTTTGGCTCGTCCCAACAATTTTGGCTGGAGTATTACAAAGGCGTACGAAACAGTTGACCAGTACAAATACTTTTTTTTGTCTGTCAAACGTAGGCCCAGGCGCTTTTTCTCTCCTGAACTCAAATATGATATTGACGTTATTGATTCACCCGTCTTGTGGATTGCTTTATGCCAAACAACATTTGGTACCCGTATCCAAGGTTGGCTACGAACTTAACATTGTTTACTTAAAGTTGAGACCCGAACCGCTCTGTTGCAAGGTCTCTTGGGAAAACCAAATCAACCAACATTCACTTCTCTTGGCGCAGCTTTGTTAGTGTAGATTATAGGACCATTTGAGCTGCAAAATACGAAAGTAGTAGGGGTAACTCAGATAAATGCATGGCACCATTACTGGGAACAGTGGTATTGTTTTTTTATATCTCTTATGCTTTTCGGGGCCATATTAGGAGAAAATTTGAGTTTCATCTGGAATCCCGTGACCATTGCGTGTTTATTTTTTTTAAATTGCGTTCATTTGCCGCTGTTGTTGATCACAATTGTTGATACCATGACATGGTTGAATCGACGAATGTGGTACGATGCTAAATGCCGGCCAATATTTCCGCACGCCACTCGCGAGACAGTAACAATCTTAACTTCAATAAAGCAGCAGTGCTTTACACTGAGGCACTGTGCGCTATATCCCAGGCAAACAATTCGAATGAAGTAGATCCCGTAACTATAGCCGTCAATGTAGCTGGATGTCCACTGCCCCATGCACACAAAACATATTGTTTGTCGTATAGAGCAATCTACCTACCACCCTACCCTCGTATTAAAAAGCTGTGTTTGCTCTCACCGCCGGATACAAGTCGTAACTTTTTATCGGAAAACAATGCGATATTATAACTGACACCGTCCCCAGCCCCGCGACCCAAAATACGTGCCACCGCCCACGACCCCACAGCAGAGTGCCGAAGGCACTCCGCTGTACAGAGTGAACCTAGCGTTCTGCACAGATTGTCCAACAGGACAATCTGTAACCAGAACGCCAGGTGTTATGATGAAGCTAACGGGTCACTGTGGGACCCAATCAACAGAATAGGGGGTTAAGTCACTTCCCAAAATGTCAGTGTGATAACGGGTTAACCATCCACCCGCGACGAACTTCTCATGCTACAATCGAAACCGTCGTAAGCTGCGGGTATGCGTTGACCGTTGACACAGCTGTCTGTCCCGACAGTAGCAAAACGGGAAGCTTACACTATCAATTGTTGGAAACATCACGTAGCATGTAGATGAAAGCATACGTCCTGCCGCTTTTTACGAAGGTGGCAAATCATGGTTCCACGACGTTTGGGGGAGGGGGGGGGGGGCATGGCCCCTTTGCCCTCCATGGATCCGCCATTATCAGCGCCCAAAGGCGATCTCTAGAGGGGTGCCATTACTCTCCGATCAGAAGGGGCATGTGGTCCCAGTGCTCCCTCTATATCAGTCCCTGCATGACTACTATGCTGTTTAAATGAGATCGTATTTTTTAAGGATACAAAATTTAGAATCTGACTCCTGTTTCCTAAATATAAAGCGGACTTAATCCATCCAGAAAAGAAACGGCGAGGGGAGTTGGATGGGCGAGCTCTCGGCTCGGCCCCCCACCCCGCCCACCCGTCGTTAACAAAAAATGCCGTCGGGCGCGTGCTTTGAAAGCACTTAATAGACATGAAACACGGCCGCTGATTGTTCAGTAAGTTCTGGACCATTTCTTCCGTACACGATATATAGAGGGGTAAAAGCACACGATACGTAAAGGCTATGCAAGAAAGCCGAAGTCACCAGCTCATTTAGTAACCATTGTGACCGAGGTGAGGGACTTACGAGCGCGGTTTGCTTACCATCCCGTCGTAAATATTTGCGCTGGAAGTAAAACACCCATCAATCAACTCAGTCTTTCATGTTTCGTTCTAAACTTGTTGGTTATTCCACTCTCCTCTTCCTCCCGTATACGGTCAAAGGAGCGATCCATTCCCGGTCAAATGTTAATTCGGTGGCCCCTCCACCGAGCGCTCCCGTGACGTCACAGCGCGGCCAAGGTCAGGTGGCGGCCCACCTGTGCGCACCGCCCGCGCCGCGCGGTGAGCGCGCGCCGTCTAGCGGCGCGTGTTTATACGAGGGCGCGCCACCGCCGCCGCGCCGCCGCCGCCGCCGCGGCAGTCAGCCGGCGTCAGTCTGGGGAGGTGGGCGCACGCGGGGGCGGCGCTGACGTCTGGCTCGTGAGGCGCGCGTCATGTCTCGACGGGGCGGTGGCCGCTTCTCCCTGTTCGCGGAGGACGGCGCCGACTTTGGCGCCCTGCCAGCGCCGCGCAGTCGCATTGCGGCCGGCGCGGCGCGTGCCAGCATGGACCTGGACCAGTTGCGCGGCGAGCTGCACCGGCGCTGCGGCGCGGACGCGGACAGTGAGCTTGGCGACTTTGTCAGCGACAGCCGGTTGCGCTTCCAGCAGTTGCTGAGCGGCGGCAAGTGGGACGGGCTGCACGGAGCGCCCGGCGATCGATTCCAGCAGCTGATGGGGTCAACCGCCTCGGGGGCAACGGCGCCGCCGGGGGAGGAGGCGGCCCTGCCGGCCGGCCGCGGCAACGGCGCGTGCAGCCCCGCGCTGCTGGCTGACGCTCCTGTGCTGCTGGCCGACCGGCCCGCGCTGCTGGCCGACGCTCCTGCACTGCTGGCCGACAGGCCCGCGTTGCTGACCGACGCCCCTGCGCTGCTGGCCGACGCTCCTGCGCTGCTGGCCGACCGGCCCGCGTTGCTGGGAGACCGTCCTGCACTGTTGGCCGACAACCCTGCGTTGCTGGCCGACCGTCCTTCGCTGCTCGGAGGCAGGGCGGGCCCGCTGAGTGAGCGCATGATGGCAGGACCTCTGAGTGAGCGTATGCGACCGGGACCGTTGAGCGAGCGTCTCAACAGCGAAATCGTGACGCGCGGGGGCACAAACATGGCCACCAACTCCATGGTGAATTCGTCCAGCTCCGTGATGAACGCATCCAGCTCGGTGATGAGCTCGTCGTCCAGTGCGATGTCGAACTCGTCGCGCGCGGTGGTCGGCTCCGGTGACCGGTCGGTGGTGGCGGCGGGCGGTGACGACCTGGCGAATCCACAGCTCTCCTCCACTCGGCAGCAGACGTTCCAGCAGTCGCGCACGGCATCCAACACGACGTTCAGTCAGTCGCTGGACGGCGGGCCAAGCCAGTCAAACACGACGCGTCTGTGCGAGGAGCAGCAGACGCGCGCCACCACCGAGAACGGCGCCACCAACGTGGCGCAGCAGCGTGCCCAGAAGCTCGAGTCGGCCACCGTCACCTCCCACAACGGCGAAACGCAGCTGGCGCTGGAGCGGGCCCAGGTGGCGCAGGCCATGGAGGCCTCGTCCCACGGCGACGGCGTCACCGACGTGCGCGAGGAGGTGCAAGCCTCAGGCGCCGTGCGCCACGCCACCTTCGAGGACGGCGACGGCGGCCCGCCGCGCCAGCTGACCGCCTCCGGCGAGGACTTCTCGGCACGCGCTCAGGTGGACTACGTGCACGAGGCGGGCGACGGTCCCGGCGGCGGCCAGTTCCGAATCAATAGCGGCGGGCCGCCGGAGGCCGGCAGCCGGCGGCCGCCGCTCTGGCGCTTCTCTGCCTTCGGGCCGCTCATCCAGCCGCCGAGCGGAAGGATCCGCGGCCAGGTCACCATGCAGACGTCGCACAGCATGTTCAACTGCCAGGCCGGCGCGCTGCCCAGGTCAGTGGCCCGCGGCGCACTTGCCCGCCGACGGAAATAGCCGCCGGCGTCTCCTCTCCGCCGGCGGTCCGCGCGGCGGGGAGTGGCGCACCGTGACCGCCGACGGACAAAGCGGCGGCTGTGCGCGGCGCGGCTCGAGTCGTGGCTCAGTTTCGCTCCGGTCGCTCCTCGTCAGCGCCCCTGTTTCGCCTGCTCTGTCAGCCCTCGGCCTCTCATCACTCCAATCCCACGCTCTCACTGAGCGCGTCCCTATTGCTGGCGCCCTGGCCCCGCGCCCCAGTTCTGTTTCGTCAGCTAGCTAATGACGCCGAGTGCCCCACCCGCCGCACGACACAATCAGCTTAGGGAAATCGTTGACATTTATTCGCCATTGTTCCCCTGCCCTGAGCCTCCTGCTTTGTGGCCGGATATTTTTTTAAGGAGCCAGCCGGCGCCGACCGCTACCCCGGCGCTCCTGTTTGCCGGGCTCGGCTGACTGCAGAGCAGAGGCGCAGTGACGGTGGCCGGTCGCAGAGGCAGTGGCCGGCCACTGTCCAGCTGCCGGCACACCGGTGCCGCTCCCCACCGTCTGGCCGCTGCAAATGGCATCGATCGCCGAGGGTTCATATTGGCCGCGCCTCGCAACCGGGCCGGGCCAGGCCGGACCGGACCGGACCGGACCGGACCGGACCGGACCGGACCGGACCGGACCGAGCAGGACCGAGCAGGACCGGGCCGGGCCGGGCCGGGCAGGGCCGGGCAGGGCCGGGCAGGGCCGGGCCGGGCAGGGCCACCGTCGGCCGGATAGGGCCATCCCCCGGCCCGGCAGGGCCCCCGTCGGCCCAGCAGGCCCCCCGTCGGCTGGGCAGGGCCCCCGTCGGCCGGGCAGGGTCCCGTCGGCCGGGCAGGGCCGTCCGTCGGCCGGGCAGGGTCCCCGTCGGCCGGGCAGGGCCCCCGCCGGCCGGGCAGGGCCCCCGCCGGCCGGGCAGGGCCCCCGTCGGCCGAGCAGGGCCGCCCGCCAGCCCGGCGAGGCCCCCGTCGGTCCGGCCCGGCCCGCTGTGGGGCGGGCTGCCCCACCGACCTTGGGCAGGCGTCACGTGCTGCGGCGTCACGCCGAGTGACGGCTGCACAATGCAGGTCGCTGGCGCGGGGTGGCCGACCGCGTTCAGGGGCCAGCCGGGGATAGCGGAATAGATGGGGACAGGTTTGCACTGACGCGATTGGGGGGGGGGGGGGCTGCACTGACGACAAACTCATATTGAAATATCGGAGTTTTGACTGGGGTCGGGTAATTTCCTCCCCTGCCCCCCCCCCCCCCCGTCATGATCGCTGGCTGGGCACGAAGCTAAGCGCATCGTGATCCCATGCAGTGCGAATTCAATGGGTCGACTGCAGCGACGGTTGCAGGCCCTTCGGCCATTGGTTGTCCCGCTGTGTTACACATTTTTGCGTGCTGCGGAATCGCTCAGCTGGGCGCAATTTACTGAGACCGGAAGTCTTTTCCTACACATTTCCCCCTGTTGGCATCCTACGTAGCCGGTCGAGTGAATTACAAGGCGTTCAGTGGCCTTCAGTTCACTATTACCCGTTTACCGTGGCTATTAAAACCCCGATCTTCGTAAACTTTGCACTGGCTGACGCGCTAAGACAACACTAACCCGGCGAAGCTCTGGAGCGTGTGTAGACACCAGGCCTGATGCCAGTGGCGTCAGGCCCGATTTACCGTTTCAAAGCCGGCCTGCCTGCCATGTTCCGGGCCGAATCAGTCACGCCCGGCCGCGCGGAGAGCTCCGCCGCGCTCCGCCGACTGACAGTTGCAGGGCTGCCGGGGCCAGCTGGCGCTGAGCTCCGCCGCGGCTCTGTGCCGGTCGTGACGCCGTCGCGCTGACCGAGCCCGTCCGCCTGCGGCGCGAGCCCCGCTGACGGGTGGGAGGGCGCCCTGTCAGCAGCCCGCCGCCGCCGCCGCCGCCGCCTCCGGCTGGCAGAAGCGTCTCGTCTCGCCTCGCCCCGCCTCCGGGGAGCGGTGATGGGTGTTTGGGGCGCGCTGTTCGGGAACGTTCCGAACGGTGAGCCGGGCAACAGCGGACTGGCTTTGCTTGGCCGTGCTCCAGCGCATTGTTGGAGCCGCGCGATCACTGGCAGGCAGATAATGGTCGACGGACTGGGCGGCAGCGCGGCCATTTATCCCCGGGCGGACCGCGCGGTCTGCCGGGTAAATGGGTGCAGCCAGCGCCCTCGGCCGCGGCCGCGCGCTCTTCGGTGCTCGTGACGTCCCGCTTCCTCGCCTGAGGTGGCCTGGTGTTCCCTCTTATTACGGGATCACAGCGCATGCAGCGTATGTCGAGGGTGTGGCGGTGGAATGAGGCCGAATGGTACGAAGGTGTTGATGGCGGTCGGGCGTTGTTTTGTTGAACCGTTTCCAGCTGAACTCGAAGGCTGAGGGCGTGTCCCGAGGACTTCGGCCACAGTTTTAGATTAAGCGATGGACAACAGCGTTCTGTCACCTATCACTGTGTTGTGCGACACGTAAGGTAACGTGCTCTTTCTTTGTGTCCTGTCGTGCTGTGGCTTCCTCGCTGGGGGTACATATTAGCGGAGTCAGTCCAGTATGCCATCAGCTGACGCAACGCCAAACCAGCCCCTTGTGCTGGCGTCAGAGGGTCTGTGCGACATTGCAAGCCCATGCAGGACGCTGTGCAGACTGCAGGATGTAGTTCCATGTACGGCGCCGTGCAACATCGCTCCTTATGCCCACCGCGCGGACCTCTGTTTTGTGCGGATAGAACTGTACCGACTGTGTGGCGGATGCAGTATCACTGTGCGTGACGTGACGCGAGGGGTCTGTGCCGATAGGAGTCTCGAAAACGGTTCCTCGTGCAGCCTCAACCATGCCTGCGAAATTGCACGCGCGTTTCTGTGCGGTGCGACACCATGCATCAAGATCGTTCTTTTCAAAAGAGGTCAGATAATGTCCAAGTAAGCTGAAGAGGAAAGACGGAGAGGTCAGAACTATGCCATGTTTCCTCGCTACATCTTGTGCGTTTTTCGGGCTCTCCATTGGTGAATCAAGGACGTGGGCTCTCACAGGGATATCGTAAGGGACGAAGGATCAAATATCACACGAGCAGGCACCCTGACCCCGCAGATTTGCACGGTCATCTCAAAGACGTCAGAAGGACGGGAATGTGTAACGACCAGCACAGCGGATGATTTGGTCCTCGCCGTTTCCCCGCACAGGAGTGCAGACAGCACGCCGTGCTGTGCTGCGGCGCGGCTGCCCGGGCCTGGGTTGACCCTCGGTGGTCAGTTGCCAGCTGACCTTTCCTGTCAGTCGGGCCGAACCATGCACCTGACGTGGGACTCGTACCCATTACCGCTGCATAACGAACGATATCAACAACAATTGAGAAAACTCACTCCGATTGGCAATAATCGCTACACCATTTTTTAAAGCCTATATCTGGCCCTCTTAGACGATGTGATGTTGCAATTAACTTCGCAGTCTGTAAGCAGGAGTTTCCAGGGAGGCCAGAGTTTAGCGTTGATTATATAATCGCTTGCTGTACAGCAAAGGTGATTCAAAAGAGAGGGCCGAAGTGCTGCCGGACGAACGTCCGAGGAAAGAGCAGACTTAACATAATTTGTGGCAGCCACGTCTTGAGCAAGGGCTGTCAGGCACTGTCTATCTCTTTGTCTTAACTGTCAATCCTTTCCGCTCTTGGCGCCAGAAAGACCGGGAATGTGAGTAATATGATGCGTTCTCGGACGATGAAACCGCGCGACCAGTCACCTCCTTGAGAGGGGGGGGGGTGGGGGGAGTGAAGGGGGGGGGGGCCCTGCTTGGCTGTCGATTTCGTAGCGATCGCCCGTGATTCTAAGCAGGCTTGCGCTTAATTCCTGTGGAACTGTGGTCGGATCAAAGCCGACGCCAAATTCGTCAGCACTCATCACCTCTCGGAAGTGGGAATAATGCTCCTTGTGCACGCACCACTTATAAATCCCCCAAGCCTTGTGAGCTGGGGTTGCGGTCACCCCCCCCCCCCCCTCCTCCCAACGTGGTTCGGCACAGATGAGTCGGAAGCTGGTTCAAAGAGATCATTGTTTGTTCAGCGCGCGGTTGATAAGCTCTTCGGTTTGGACGCGTGCGGCGCGGGCTGGGCACCGTTAACTTCCCCAGTTATTGGCTCCCTGACAACCAACACGGGTCCACATTCCACTCTCTCTGGTTGGGTCTGTTTGGGTCTCTATAAACACCTGTACCTCATCATCCAAATATCTGTCCCTCGCCGGTCCGGATTTGTCCCGGCGTGGGAGTGGCCCAGCGTCAGCGGCGAGGCGCGGGTGACGGGGTGTGCCCATCCGACCTCAGCCCACCGCGGCCGCGGCCTCAGACCTCTCCTCCCCTCCCACCGCCGACACCTGCTGACAGTCGGGTGACGTCACCGGCTGTGGAGGAACACGATTGCGGCGTCTGAGGCGGGCGGTGGCGATGACTCGATAGGCCTGCTCCGTCCGCCGGGCTCGTCCATGTTAACGAAGGTGGGGCAGGGCGGGAAGGGGGGGGGGGGGGGGGCTCACCACGAGATAATCTCACTGGACGGTTTTCGCTGGAGAAAAATATCGTTCAATAACCAACCCGTTGAGTCGAGCATGACCACAGAACATGAAGCATGATGTTGCATGCAGAGTTCTCAGCATTCTCCAGTCCGCGGTATCTCAATTAAGACTGTATCCATTTAACAACTGGCGATCATGCTGAGAAACATTCATGGCGCATTCTGAACTTGGGTGCTTGAAGCTCATGGCTCAACGATTTTCAGCACGGCTTGGACCGTATTCCTTAATTGTATGTATCTACCTGCACTCCCAGTTCTTGGAGTTTTTTTCTACGAAAATTTATGGTGGTGTCGTGGCTGTTGCGGTCGCAGGGATCCGGCAGAAGGCTTGGAGGTGTTTTGCAATTCGCCTTTCGCATGTGGCATTTTGCTGAGCTTGTGGCCGCCTACTGCACAGCTGCATGTTAAGGCTGTATATAGGCACCGGAATCTTTATATTCTAAATCTAGTCTGGGTCTTGTTATCTTTCGTTGAGTGGTTTTGTCCGGATCAGGAATCGCGAATCCATCTGCCGCAGAATCTGACCGGAATGCGCGGCGAAGTGCATGATGCATCGCATGGATAACACGAGGGGCAGGCGGTGACTAAACCCCACATGTCAAATGTGCAGGCTTTGCTCTGTCTTGTCACTGACCGAGATTGCATGTTTGATATCCCAGCCAAACGAAGGCACATCATGGCGATGGACGTTGAAAATTTTCACAGGGTATGAAGTCACCATTGATTCGTATCAGCCTATTGCCATCAGTCTCCGTCCTTGTATAGTGCCTGATTTGTTTTGATTCGTCGCACTGCACGACGTGCCATTTGCGATGGGGTGTTATGGTTACTTTTTTGGGGCGCCCACACGTGCCGACCCCAGATCGGTGGGCCTCAGGTCGGTGGCGACTCGCCAAACGTTTGTCCATTTTTGGCGATCAGCCTAAAAGAAGCAGGGACATCTCCTCCTCGACTTCTCTCGTTACCCACCGACGTCTTGGTTTTGTGCCAAGGTCGCCACCTGGTCGCACCCTAGCTCGTGTCAAGAGAGGCCTCGCTGCTAGGTTTCGACTAGCCGGTGGGTGCGCACGTTCAACGTGTCGGTATGGCTGAGGCTGTCACGCTTTAGACGACCCTTTATCTTCGGAATCACTTCGAAACGCCGTTCAGGTTTCAACGGCAGGCAGCACATTCATTTTGAAATGTTGCGTTGAAGTGCTTTCGACGTATTTGCCTGCAACCTGCTTGATCAAGCGTGGCTTTCCTGCAACGCTGCAGTACGAGCAGAAGTAACGTTTCCCTTGCTTTTCCCGCGGTACCGTAAAGTTCCCAGTCGCAGAAGACTGCACAACACAGATCGAAGCCGGCCCACATCTGGTATCTCAGGTCTCAGCAGCACGCCGCGAACGCCATAAGACGTAGGTAAGAGCGGGCATAAGTATTGACTGAAATAAACAGCGTCGTGTGCGACAGGTCATGCACAGTCGAGCACACAAACCAGGCACCCGTCAGTTTGGTGTTTTTTATTAACGGCGGGTCGTGACAGCGAGCGCATAAAGACGTGGAATCATTGTTTTCATGAATGTGCCGTTTAACAAATAATATATGCTGGCCCGTCGCTGTCCGGTCCGTGGGGATACGGATAATAAACGGTTGCCGGGTAGTGAACGGGAGGCGTGACAGCAGTCACATCAGCTCGCATCGAAACGACTATTGTTTTATCCTCTTTTGTTTGTTACTTTTCAGCTGGAAAGTGGCCAACCGACATAGATTCAACCTTTTGCCGGCCGAAACATCCGAGCTCACCGCAAGTCACTTTGCGGAAATATTTTGTGTCAGGAAGTTGACTTGACGACACCAGTGCACCTATTCTTTCGCCGAACCGCGGAAAGACGGAAATAACTGACGACTGGACTTCTTTACATGGGTTCCAAATGCGTCTGACTCCATTCGTTTAGATTTTGATATGATGTACAATACACATTCTATACGGTGATAATGTCCCTGTCCCTGTCACCCCATGCCATCACATTCGTCTTACTGGTGGCAGGGGAGGGCAGTTGTAAAGAATTCGCCCGAGCTATTACCTTTTTATTGCTGTGTCTTGCAATGCCAAAGTACACCGTGTCATTGCTCCTGCTGCTTTTAGTCATAATTAGCTCCATTCACACTACTCTTCCATTTGTGAATTAAAACAGCACCATTGGATGTTAACTTTCCCAAAACTCTTCCATAGTTTGGAACTAAAATGCTGGAAAATGCAGCTTCGTGGTTAACTTATGGGTACACCTGATTAAGAATGGATGGCGATTGGATACGGGCACAGGCCCACAAGTATATTGGTTGATAGGGTGCGGGAAATCCTGTACGTGAAGGCTATGTATCAGACCAATTGCATCGTGAACAGCGCATCCGGAAAATTATTCTTTCCGAACTCGTAATTAATTCGAATTCGCATTCCTAACACACTGTTTTCCACACTTTTAGTAGACTGGCGAGGTTTCTCGCTCATAGCTTACTCACATTCCAAGGAGAGTCGTTCCACAAGTCTGTTCATCTTTCCTACACCCACATTTCCACAAAAAGTCACCTGTGTGAGTCACGATATTGTCCGCTGCCGCCGGTAGATGTTTACCGCCGCCATTCATCAATGGCGCAGTGTTTACCGCGCGGCCGGCGCAGCGTCCTGGGTATTTACAGGTCAAACCTTTGTCCGCCCGCGTGGCGCTGCAGAACGGCATCCGCGCCGAGCGCTCGGGCGTACGACTCAGTCGGCACCCAGTGCCACAGCGCGGCGAACCGCGCCCCACATTTTTGTGCACCCTGTGCCGGGGACATTGCTTCGCGTGCCAAAACGGACGTGCGTCGCTCGGTACGAACCGGCTAGCGTTTGGAAACCCCGCCTGGAATATTAGCCTGCGCCATTTGACAGCTTGCATTTGACTCGCTGCATGACAGCGAGGCCTTCCATGGGTCACCTCGGTGGGCCCCCACCCCTCATTAATCCTGTCCTCCTGAATGGTAAGCGCACTGTCCAGCTGTCGGCCGGCTTCGGACACCAGCTATATACGGGCAGTCGGGCGCGCACCGAGCGTCGTCTCGTCATCTCGTGATTCAGCCGCGCTGGAACCGACGCCAGGTGCCGCACCGGGCTCGCCGAACCCGTGACGTCACGCCGCGGTGACGTCACTCCGGCGTGACGGAGTGACGGCGCGGCGGCGGCCGGCCGGTTTCGGACAACGGCCGGGCGGAGTCGAGGCCACGCCAGCTGCGTCACGCCGAATGCCTCGGCGCTCGCAACGGTGCGAGGGAGGGGAGGGAGGGGTGCGTGGCACACGGCCGCCGCCGGAGGGTGTCTGACGTCACTCACCGCAGCCGGTGTTGTGTCATCGTTCTCCGAACGCGAGCGCACCGGTGACGTCACTACACAATGTTTTGCGCTGAAGGTTGCCGGCGCCTATGTGATGGCATATGACCTTTGGCTGGTGCCCATACCTGGCAAAACTAAAGGACCGAAAGACAGTTTGAAAAGTCGGAAAGCATGAGCGGCAAACGGTAGCACAAATACACAAACATACAAGCTTGTGAACATAAGACGACAGGAAGGAAAATAAAGCGAGAGAATGGAACAGCAAACGAGATGGGCCTCGCAGGCAGTGCCTGCAGGAGGAACGGGAGGTAGCAACAGTTGTCGGACAGGCTCAGGACCATTGACTTACAAGCGATATGGCTGCATTGAGGGAGATCAAAGCTGAGGAAGGGAAAGGTCTAAAAAAAACGGACCTCCCCCCAGAAACAGCAAGAGGCAGCTGGCCACGCACTCAAAATTGAGATATTCCGCCCCAGGTTTCATGTGTGCTTACTGCGCGGAGATCCTCGCGACGTTTCGTTCCATAGTTTTGGGGTGCTACACTGTGTCCGGTTGACAAATACGTGTAGAGGACTCTAAAAATATACGTCTTCATTTACGATGACAGAAAATAACAGCGCTTGTCAGCGGACCACCGATTTTGGACTTCGACCCATGTAAACCACTTCAGTAGTCACGCGATCAGTTTCCAACCAGAATATTTGTTCTTAACTGCTGTGACTCATGCCAAGATCGGCAACGCTATCCTCAACAAAGCGCGGACTTCGCGTGGAATCTTGGAAAGAGCCGTGCCTCGAATATTGCAGCAATTTTACAAATTCCTGGCTCAATTGGCATATTACACCATTTACCGTTAGAAATATATTGCACTACTGCTCATCCCCTGGATGAGCAGTGGACGAGCAGCTCATCCCGCTCACAACTGTCTAGGGCCATTGAAGGATTCTGTGGACAAATGCAAGATTTTGGAGGTGTTGCTTCAAGCCAGAGTTGTCCCCTAAGTCTCAATAGCATCGGCGAATAATATGGCCCGACCGCATGAAAAACGCGCCGCTATTTACCCGTTGACTGCTCGTTACCAACAACGAGCTGTCACTGCGTGCACGTAATCACTGCGATTCCTCAGCACATGATTTCTTTATCCCTTGATTACTTGGCCAGTTACAAACTGAATATGTTTCGGCTTTGGTGCGTGGCCTTGTACGTCTTGGTCGTGGGGACGCCAATGTCCGAAAGTGTGTCTAAAGTGGGCCTGCTGTGTAACCGGGACCCGTCCTCCGGCACACAACCCAGCGGCTTTACGAAAAAAGCACCCCACGCGCACAAGTTGTGACTACTGTGCTGACCGGGCTCGGTCCTCTCGGCAGATTCGCCGGCTCCCAGTACACGTACGAGGACACGTTCGAAGTGTCCGAGTCCCTTTGGCTACTGTGCTGACTGGGCTCGGTCCTCCCGGCAGATTCGCCGGCTCCCAGTACACGTACGAGGACACGTTCGAAGTGTCCGAGTCCGAGTCGGACGACGACGACCTGTACCTGCCGGCGCCGGCGCGGCGCCGCCAGCTCGGCTGGCGCCACAAGCCGGCCCTCACCCTCGAGGAGGCGCGGCCCGAGACGCCGTCCGAGGCGCCCTCCGAGGCGCCCTCCGAGCCGCCGGGCGAGCGCGAGGCGGACGTGAGTGAGGACGTGGCGGCGGCCGAGGAAGAGGAGCGCCGCCGCCGCGAGCGGCTGCACAAGATAGCCAGCGAGCTGCTGGTGACCGAGCGCAAGTACGTCCAGGAGCTGCACCTCATCGACCAGGTGAGACGCCGGCCGGCGCAGCGGCACGCCCACGCTCGGCGGTGTAGGCCACGGGGGTGACCATCCAGCCGCTTCATAGCTAGACAGTCGCGGCGTTGTGAAGCCGAGCTGAAGTATTTTGCTCCTTGTTACCGGGGATCACATTAGGATCAATGCCAAACCGATTGGCCGCTGTCGGGGCAGTGCTTAACAGATCTTGTGACACTGAGCGTGGCCCCGCCACCCTAGTGATAATGATCTTGTGACACTGGGCGTGGTCCCGCCCTTATTGATAATGATCTTGTGACACTGAGCGTGACCCCGCCACCCAGTGATAATGATCTTGTGACACTGAGCGTGGCCCCGCCCTTAATGATAATGGTCTTATGACACTGAGCATGGCCCCGCCACCCTAGTAATAATGGTCTTGTGATACTGAGCATGGCCCCGCCACCCTAATGATAAGTGGTGTTGTGACACTGAGCCTTGCCCCGCCAGCATAGTGACGGTGAACCTTCAATTACGAGATTACTTCTACCGAGCGCTTTGAGCCAACTAGCATAATATCGGTATGTTAAGCCCTCCCGCGCTGAATATTGGTGCGGCGAGACCGTCTCCTGGCTGGCGTGACACTCAGTCGGGATCAATAGTTTGACGCAGATCGCTCATTGGACGATTGAACCCGCGTCCCGCCTGCCGACCGACACGCATGAGCTGACTCTTACAGAACAGCGTACTCGGCCCTCAGATAACTCGGCGGTGGCCCGCAGCGAACAGAGCGGAACAAGTTGTGTCGTTAACGTCGGTAAAGAATCTGTTATTGTGAATTGTATGGTCTAAACAGTAATATCTACCAATATCAAAGGTTTCTGACTCAAACTTTTAAGTCCTAAAGATCCTGGAGAAAATGTACGCAAAACGTTTTCGATATCCCGCTTATCGGATGTTTCCGTGTAATATATTTCACGTTAGCACAGTACAAATGGCTAGTGAGATAAGAGTCCTTTCGCGGGACGTGATGTGTTAGACTTTCCAGGCAGCCTGCCGCCTCTTTACCCTTCTGTATAAGGTGATAATATTGGTCGATGCTCACACGGACCTAGTGGGGCTAAATGATAGTGGCATGGTGTACTGTGTGCTGTGCGTTACTAGTACGTGGCACATGACACTACTAGTGCGATGACATGTCGTTTGAAAGGCCTGCGATACCTTTCGTTCTTCCGAGTGCAGCTATTCTCACATGTCGTCGTGCAACTAGTGGCAATTGCCCTCTGCCTTCCCCACACGATGAAACACCAACACTGCTTCATGCCGGGAGCCTAAACCATCCTGAGGTTTTTCTCTGACTCAATGACTCAACGCGTTTCCAACCGTGTGAATCAGGGAGCTTATGTTGGGAAAACATCCTGGCTTCACCAGCGCAAACAAGCTTCTCAGCACGCCTCCGGTCACAAAAGGTCAAACGTTCATGAGCACGAACAGGTGCGGCCCGCCGCCGAACTCTCTCCCGGCCTCAGGCCCGGCTCACGTGCACTTTACAGCACTGACGCAGCAGAACCGCCCGCAGCCGCCCGCCGGCCACGGAGGCAATCGAGGCCCGCTGCCGGTTATCTGTAGCAGGATGCAGCCTCGCGGTGCTATGGGCAGCGCAGGGTGGAGCTCCGGCACGGGCTGTGTATCTCACCCATCAAGCCCGTCTATTATGTTTGCTCGGCATTCCTGTCCGGCTGTAAACGCCAGATCACCGGCGTTCACCGCCGCGTGCCCACTGCGAAGGTCAAATTCGACAGCATGCTTTGTGGAAAGCCGAGTCCTGTCTGGATCGGGACCTTTAGTCTGCACATTGCAGAAGTTTCAGGAAAATATGAAGTTCTGAATTCCGAGCGATTCTTTCGTGTGACCGTGGGCTTAAAGTGCTGACGAGCCTGGGATGTTGTTGGTATCCTAAACACACCGACCAAAACCGCCAAACAGACCCGCCAACCAGGCCAGCGCCTGAGGCGGCATGATTCCACGTCAGCGGGGACTTTTGTCTCCGGCCTTTCTACCGGACAAGGTTGCGAAAGGGTCCATTGTCGTATCATGCAGTGCAACGAGGCGGTCGTTCCGTGCCAGGCGAACGCTCTCTGGCCGTTTGCCAGATGACTCGTTCAATTCCATGCCGGCCGGGCGTGGATCGGATGGTTCTCAATCAGACAATCAGGCTTATGCCGCTGCAGCGTTTGCAGCCCTAACAGGTACATAAATCTGTCGATAAATGTATTGCGCCGTATCTGTCGTACAGCGCGGGTGCTTCTGCTTCAACGCTCCGCCTCCTCTCTTGCAGATCTTCCACTTCCGCGTGGACCAGGAGAACCGCGCCCACCACATGTTCAACAACGAGATCACGGCGCAGATGTTCTCCAACGTCAAGTCCATCCACCAGTTCCACAAGGATCACATGCTTCCCCAGCTGGAGAGCCGGCTGGCCGACTGGGAGAACGACCCGCGGATAGGTACGTGTCCACACGATCCAGGAGCGGCGGGGTGGAAAGCTCTCGTCCCAGCCGTCAGTGCAGTCCCACCGTTGGCGCCCACCACTCGGCAGGGCTCAGCCTCAGCCTCAGCTCCAGACGGAGAACGGGGGAGGCGGCGCCGCCTCGCGCATGAGTAATTAATTATGTGGCTCCCGGCGGGCCGGGACGGACGAGGCGTTCGTGCCGCCCGTACCGCCCACGCCGGCCGGCCGCCTGTTTGTGTACACATGTGGTTCGACCTGTGGTCAGCCCACCAGACGCGCGATGACGTGCGCTGAGGGCTGATCTTTCAAGTTCTCTCTTTATTCCGTGCGCTGGGGCGAGTTCACGCCAAGCATTTATCTATAGTTTCACGTCAGTTCACAGCTGAACATGGGGGGTCCAAAAACGATGAGCTCAGCAGTCACACATGCGCACAACGCAGCAAGTCATTCATGGCACGGGACTGAGTAAAAAAGGACCACTTTAAGGTGACAAAAAACACACACACGCACACGGTCTGGTGTCACAGCCTTAGAATAGCGATAATTCCTGTCGCTTTACCGCCTGGTGTCATGCCCGTCCGAAACACGCGCGGTCTGGTATCACAGCCTTCGAATAGCGACGATTCCTGTCGCTCCGACGCCTGGTGCCATGCACGTCCGACACGTCAGCGTGCAGCGCCATGCGTCATCGTCCGCGACGCCGCAGAGCTGTCGAACCAGTCACTGCAACGGCACATTCGGACGCGACGGGGGCCGTCTGGCCGGGGCGCCGGCAAATATTTGACCCCGGGCGAAAACAGGCGGCCGGGGTGCTAACAGGAACCGCGCCGTGTGTATAATCCCGACGGACGGACGGCGGGCCGGTCGCGTTCGAGCGCCGCTGCCGGCGGCGGCGCGGCGGCGGGGTGGTCACGCGACGCCTCACCGCCCCAGAGGCTGCCCGCTCGGACGCCGTCGGTAGCGGGGGAAAGCCGGGCGTTGCGGCCCGCTGACCGACGGACGAGTGGCCGCTGACGGTTTCACCCGCCGTGCGACGGCCGCTAAGAGAGGAGGTGTCCCACCGGTTCAAGCGGCTTCCTCGGAAGCTGGCTGGGGAGCGCATGAGTCTGTGTTTCTCCACCCCCAAGGAATATCATGAGGGAATTCAGTGGGGATGTCCGTCCCCAGGGGACCTCACGAGGGGATGTCACGTATCTCTCCGTCCCCAGGGGACGTCATGAGGGGATGCCACGAGTCTGTTCGCCCCTAGGGGACGTCATGAGGGGATTCCACGAGTCTGACCCCAGGGGACGTCATGCGGAGATGTCCCGTGCTTCTCCGTCGCCATGAGACGTCATGAGGTGGTGTCACGTGTCTATCTGCCCCCATAGGACGTCTTGAGGAGATGCCACGCGCCTGTCCATCCCTGGAGGACGTCATGAGGGGATGTTACGTGCCTATTCGTCCGCAGGGGACATCATGAAGACGTGCGCTCCGTTTCTCAAGATGTACACCGAGTTCGTGAAGAGCTACGACAACGCCATGAATCTCATCAACGCTTTCTTTGCCAAGTGTCCGCGGTTCGCAGCGATCATGAACGAAATCCACGTAAGAAGGCTCGGTGTGTTGTGGGCTGCGGGCTGTCGGTTTTAAAGATTGATGGCATCCTTTTTCACGTAAATGAATACGGATTATTCATGGGTAAACATGGCAGCCATTTGGCAACCACATGAATGATTCCTTTGACTTTTCTGTGTCGTGTTTTTCATTCTTCGTCGGCCGGCTCTGTCAATTTTGCTTTTTCGAATTCAGATTGTAGTGTTCTATGTAAATATTTTGGTGTGAGTTACGACTTCAGCACCGCGCCGTACTGCATTCTTCTAAGCTCTTTGGGGTATAGCACCGAACACTAATCACGCACATACCTACAACACTTTCGTTTTAGAACAGAACTCATGCACATCCTGCAGTTCCTGCGTACCAGTTATTTTGTAGAACCCCTCGCTCCTGAATGGCGGGTAGAGAGGCACTGGGGACCAGACGCCGTTTTGACAGAACTGCCATGGCAAATACCGTCCGGGTAGAGTGAGAAGCAGTTCACCCTTAACGTGACGCAGACCGCGAAGAGGCCTCTCTCGCGCGTGAAAGGGCCGCTGGCGCGCAGGAGAATCCCGCGCGTGGAGGGGTTTCTATCATGCGCGGAGGGGCCTCTCTCGCGCGAAGGGATCTTTTCCGTGCGCGGAGGGGTCTCGCGCATAGAGGGCCTTCCTCGCGCGCGGAGAGGCCTCTCGCGGCCAGAGTGCCGTGGCTTCTCGGCCGTTACACCGCTCGCCGCACCTCACCGGGGCTGCTGGCTGCGGCGCACATGGCGCGCGCCCGCCCCGCCACGCCGCCGCGACCACCGCGGCCCCTGGATCACAGGGCACCGCTCTCGCTGCCGGCGGTGCCGCAGTGCCGGAGGAGAGGGACATTCTGTCACGGGGCCTCCTCCTCCGCGGGAAGTGGAAGAGTTCGGTGACGCGCCGCTGCGGTCTGACACGAGCGTGGTGCGGTTGGTGTTTGCAGGAGATGGAAGAGTGCGGTAACCTACCGCTGCAGCACCACATGATCGTTCCCATCCAGAGGGTACCCCGGTACGAGCTGCTGCTGAAGGACTACCTGAAGAGGCTCCCGGAAAACTCGCCAGACTACGAGGATGCCAAACGTTAGTGTTGGGTGTGTCTGCACGGCTTGTGTGGTATTGGCCACGTGTTAGGGGGTGTCGCCTCAGGACTGCTATGTCAATGTGTTATGCATTTTGTATCACGAAAACGGCAAAAACGGCATACCTATCGCTTCAGTGCAGCGGCTGCCGTCTTAAGATATTAATCCAGAGATTTCTTAAGTAATGTTCGCATGTTCCAATTCCAGCCTATCGGGATCAAAGGGAGTAGGATCAGATTGCTCATGAAGTATTAACCGGTGTCTCTCTTACATGGTACCGGATTGTAGCCTTGCTGGCGGACAAAGACCAGCGTTGTGGAATTCCCGTCCGAAGGATTACTTCATTCAACTGATAATCCTCTTTCGCCATGCATTTTCCATCCGTAACGTGTTGTCTTTTGCGCGACGAGGCTTTTACTGCACGACCGTAACAAACCAGCTTCAAGGAGACATTGAGGTCAGAAATCATCACTTAGCACGTTTGACGTCATGCGAGATAGCAACGATATTAGCTCCTACTCATGTTACGAGGACCTCTGCATCAGTACCGCTGTCCTCGGCCGACAAGATGATAGCAGTGTTGGCGGTCCGCTGACGTCGACACCCACCTTTGTCTGTGGTATGATCGGTGGCAAAAATCACACTGTCGTGGGTGATACGGCATTAATTTTGCTTGACAAACGGTATGGTGCGTCGATTAAAAAACATGTTAGAAGGTTAAATTCACACAGGAATATGTAAGTTTTGCCTGTCTTTTTAGTACTATCGTATGAAGCTGGGCACAGCATGGAATGGTTGATGGAACAAACACATTTAAACTCCTTCCCATGTATAAGGACGGTTGTATGCAAATTGTAGCTGGAAATGCCGAATGCGATTACTCATTGCACTATCTCCGAACATCATTTTTTCTAATGTTACCATCATCGGCTGGACTACGCATTCATAAAAAGGCTTTCGTAGTTCAATTTTAGTTTCGTAATATGGCGTCCGAACTCTAAAGGTGGTGCCCGCATGTGGTGTTGGACTCCGCCGCGATGCCCTGGAGTGTGACGTCATCCGCGTCCATACCCACTCCACACGCGTCACCTCACTAATGCGTTTTCCGGAGGCGATGTCTGCAGGCGGCATCTCTCCAAGTGTCGCGCACTCTTGGCTCGCCGCGCGTTACAGCACCGCGGGGAGCCGTTACTGGAGCCAACCTTGGACGGAGTGCGTATCGCGTCCGCTTAACTCACCCCGAGAGCCTGCCCCCCCCCCCCCGAATTAGCGGTCTCCCGAATTAGCAGCGTAACCAGGCCAGCAGCGCGCCGCCGCCCGCCATTCCGGCGTGCCTGAGGCCTTGGCGGCGCACCGTCAGCTGTCTGCGCCGCGTGCGCCGCCGGCCGGAGTTGCGCCGTCACCCGGCACCGTGGCTATGGGGCCGACACGGCGCCGCCGGCCGCACGGAAAGCGTGTCTGATTCGCACCGCCGCCCGCGGCCACGCGAGCGGGCTGGATCATGCTGACGCGGCTGCCTGCCGCCCCTTCCAGAGGCGCTGGAGCTGGTCACGCACGCGGCCACGCACAGCAACGACACGATGAAGCGGGTGGACAAGTTCAAGCAGCTGCTGGAGATCCAGGAGAACATCAGCGGCGGTCCGGACCTGGTGTCGCCCACCCGCCAGCTGGTGAAGCAGGGCAAGATCTGCAAGATATCGGCTCGCAGCGGCGACCACCAGGAGCGCTATCTGTTCCTGGTGAGC